TACTTTTTGCATTGTGTTGCCCCTTGTTTCCGTTGTGTTGTGGCTTGATTCTGTTGTGTTGTGGCTTGTTTCCGTTGTGTTGTACTAATTTCATTGTGTTGCACTAGGCCTGTCACAATAATCAATATATCGACTTATCGCGCAATATATATATACATGACCTCAATCATTTTTGGTGACACAATATATCACCCATTATATTTACTTAAAATGTATGTCACCATGTTTTGTACATTCCACTTGTGCCTATGTCTTTTGCAGCTTCTTGTACATAACGTGGTGTAGTCATGAGGTGCTAGTTCAAATTTAAAAAGTACTTCTACAAAAAAAAGTTTAATCTTCAGATATGGCCTTGTTTAGGGATTGGTGCCTTTGTGCATATGGACATCTGACTGCTAAGTAGTGATTGTGTTTTTCAGCAATAGTGTGCACCCTCAATTTACAGAGAAAAGAAGGTCAGAAAAAAATATGTAAGTTCTTTGTGCATTTTTCTTTTTTTGTACTTGTTACTTTGCACTTTTTGTTAGAAAATGTTTATTTACTATTTATTCAGGTTTTTTAAGGCATATCATATTTTGATACTTAATTTCCATGATCTAAATATTCTTAAAAATTTAAAGTTTGTTGTTATTTGGAAGTGTGTAGGCCTTCTTGCATTATTATGCTGTTACATTATGATTATATATTCAGTAGCATAAAATGGTCTTTAATATGACAATAATATCGCTTATCGCAATTATTTCTGGGGCAATATATCGCACAACAAAAAGTTGTTATCGTGACAGGCCTATGTTGCAACTTGTTTCCGTTGTGTTTCCGTGTTGTGAAGATTTCATTGTGTTGTGCACTACTGGGCCACCGTACGTGTGACTTTTAGCAACAACCCCAAATATAAATGTATATATAATGTGAACATGCTATTTATACAGTACACTAAACGAAAATAATATTATTTCTAAACTGAATCAAGATTTACATTAAAACCAATATTTGCAATATGTGCAAAATTTAGACTTAAAATAAACTTTGAAATTCTAAATATCAACCTAATGATCGGCCTGATCGATACCACTAGGAAAGGGCTCACAAAAGCAAACATCTCAAATCACCACTTCTCCTCATGCTTCTTCTAGTCAATCATGCCGTTCATTCTTGCTCAAGTTTAGACTCAAAACCCCCATTTGCCCTTCACACACTCAAGGATGGTCAAACTCCCATTGAGCCAAGCAAGCCTAATATAAGCCATTTAGATGTTTGGAAAGGCTTACCCTTTTCAGCGCTCAAAGCTCCATTAGATAAAGAGGAGCAGGGCAGGCTAATTAGAGTCTGACCGTTTGGCCATTCTAGAGCAAAGATTCATTTGCACTGGTCTTAAAATCGGCCTCTCTCTCTCTCTTTCTCTCTCCACCTAATAGAAAAATAAGCTACTTCACTCTGCATCGCTGGCAGTGACACCTGCGATGGAGGGAGTAATGGTGTTTAATGGCCTTTTAAATTTTTATTCAGTCTGAGAATCATAAAAGAGGAACCAGGCAGCCACTGGATCTCTTAATAATCGCAATGCTATGGCAACCAAAAGCAAGCTCAGCCGTCAGACTTTAGGTGGCTCACAGATCCACACCTGCTCTCGGTTCTCGTGTTGGGAGAAATGCAGAGATATCAAGCAAAAGGCAAGTTTCTACATTTCTGCAAGGTCACCAGTGGTGTTTTGGTGATCCTAATAATAGACGTTTTAAAGTTTAAGTGCTGCCCAGGGGTCTTGCGTGTGTTCATTAGGAATCACGGCCTGCTTGGCCAATACAGCAATGAATAGACATTAATAAGGCAGAGGGGAAAAAAGGAAAGGACCAAGAGGGAGGGAAATGGAGGAAGTGTGTTTAAGTTTTGGAAGGCTGCAACTGTGTGTTTGCACTCCCTGGCAGGGGGAGACAACTCCAGATCTGATATGAGAGTTGTGGCTTTTAAACATCTGAGACCTGCTGTATCACCAGACCCTATCTTTTGTTTATTTACAGCAGTGTGGCGAGAGAGAGAGAGAGAGAGAGAGAGAGAGAGAGAATGAGAGAGATATTCTCACACTTGAAAGAATTTGACAAATCACAGTCATCCTAAACAGGATTGTAGATAAATAACGAACACAGTAGACACAAATACACACCTGGGAGATTTGATGTGGGTATCGACACATTTTGTGCTTGTTTGTCCATTACATCAGTGAGTCCCAATCAGAGGTAAGTTTACACCAGCAGGTTTCACAGGGTACTACAAAACAAAACAAAAAAATACAAATTAATTGTATACTAAACAATTAGTTGTTTCAATAGATTAATTAAATCACAATATTTTCAGTTCCTTTCAATGAAAATAATGCAAAATGATGTGTACTGTAATGTATTCAAGTTTATATAAATTTATGTGGATGGCATGGCATTCATAGTAGATTGTCCTGATTTACACCCATCATTAATGTGTTTTCAAAATTCAGATCACAATCACCATACTTCATAATTAAGTTACACTGCAAATATCAAACATATGTTTTAGTGCTGTCAAACGATTAATCGCATCTGAAATAAAAGTTTTTATTTACATAATATATGTGTGTGTACTGTGTATATTTATTATGTATATATAAATACACACATACAGTATATTTTGAAAATATATAATCAGCCTATGTATATGTATATATTTATATTCATATAATTTATATTTTATAAAAATATACACATGATTTAGAATTTTTCTGAAATATATACATGCAAGTGTTTGTATATATATACATAATAAATATACACAGTGCACACACATATACTATGCGAACAAAAACTTTTATTTTGGATGCGATTAATCGCGATTAAATGTTTGACAGCACTAATATTTTTTTAATGTTCTTAAAACAAGTCATTTATGCTAACGAAGGCTATAGTTATGTGATCAAAAATACAGTAAAACAGTAATATTGTGAAATATTATAATTTAAAATAACTATTTTAATATAATTTAAAATGTAATTATTTTTGTGATTTTTTTTTACAACACTGTGCTATAGCGATTTGTTTGCATTGTTTAATTAATAATGTCCAATTACTAATCTAATTATTTTGCCAGATTGCACATCTTCACTTCTAAACCCTATTAAATCCTTTATTTTAAAAAGAAATATATAAACAAACAGAATATCTGTCTGTTTCTCACCCACAGTATTGATTATTTTTCAGTTGGGACTATTGATAATATAAATGATAATGCTAACCGATTACCACTATAATTTGAGTTAACACATTTTTGTATGTAATGTGATTATTCTATTAGTCACAAAAGTGCAGTATAACATGGTGTGGCTCCCTTCGTATAACCCATCTGAGCATGTTTATATACAGTCTGCTTAATTTCACACATTTTCGCCCAAAATCAGTGCAGAAAATGCTCAAAAAGGCCATTGACATGTCAATGGGGGAACATAAATAAAAAAAGACACTACATTAGAAGCCCCGTCTTCAACGAAAATACAAAACTTTTTACAAATCTGCTCTTGCTATGAACGGTGGAATTTACAGTAGTTATGATTACATGAAGCAAGGCAAACTTGATGAAACAAATGGTATTTTTGAGACCGTCAACAGTCTTGAAGACGCAGTCCAGGTCTAGCAGTCAATCTCACGAGTGGTCTCCTGTCCAGCGTCAGCTGAGTGAACACAGTGCTGTGTCGTTTAAATGTCAGTGATAGACATCAAACCCAGTTCTTTCTCAAACTCCATCTGCTTCATACAGATGTCTCAATCAAGCCAGCAGCTGCGTGGTGTCTTACTGTCAGAGAAGGCCAGGGCTACACTTATACACGCTACTGTTTAGACACAGGAAGTGTACCTGCCATATGCCACATGCTACCTGACCTGCCCTGCCCTTCTGCTGCCTGTCATTCAGCCCTCACATGGACCCTCAACACGCTAACGTGAGCCTCACACCCTCACACACACACACGCATACCCAGCAAACTCCTCCTCTAACACTAGTAATGCCTTCTGTCACAAAAAAATTGCTTCAATTGTTTAGAGAAAAAGCCAGAGGCAAATACATTTTAGTGTTATCAATTAAACTCATGTACTATCAGAGACAAAATAATGGTTTGTTGTGACATATTGCAGATGGTGTTGTGCTATGTGCTTATCACGAAACAGGTGATCACTTCTATGGTTTAAGTTATGTTTAAACAAGAATCTTTGTGGCAAAAATTAAATATCCTGATACTACTTTCTACAAACACATTATAAATGGATATGTTTGTCTTCTTTGTGCAAATAAGAGAACATAAATAGAAGAGAATACAATAGAAGATTGCAAAATCACGCAACACTTTCTGAAAAAAAGCACAACAAACAAACATCCATACAACAAAAAAATATTAATAAATTAAAATAATGTTAATAATTCACAAAAAATTGTGAATGATTAATCAGCGCATGCTATTTTAAAAAGTAATAATTAAATAATAAATACAATAAAATATTGATAAGTCTTTTGCGGCAGAAAGGTATCATCTTTGGTATCATGCAACTCATGACCTTAAACGAATAGTTCAAGATTAAATAAAAAAAAAAAAGTTAAATAAAAACTTTTAATTTTCAATCAAACTGTAAAAAGTACTGTAAAAAGTACTGAGAAAATGTACAAAACTTTTACTCACCTAAAAGTCAAAATACTTACAAAAAGTATTCACATTTAATCATACTTAAGCGCATTTAAAAGTTGAAAAATTATACACTTTTTAAATCGACTTTGAAAACAAGAGGCAGTAGAGATTTTCTTAAACTTTGTAAAGAAACTGTCAAATATTATGGTTACATTTACATTGTTACATTGCTCTGACTATCCAAAACTCTAAGAAAAAGCTGATGTTAAAGTAAAGCAGACCGCATGAAAAATTTCAGTAAATGATTTCAGTGTTTTAACATTTGAATATAGTGATTTTTAGACTAATCACGAACCACGTTTGCACTTGACAGTTACTATCAAAACCAATACTATAGTTTAAAGTCTTTACCTAAAAGGGATAGTTCAACCAAAATAAACATTGTGTCATCATTTAATCACCCTCGTAAGGGAGTAAAAGGTATTGTTATTACCTTGAGCAAAAGTATTTGGTTTTAACTTATAAAAAGTAGATTCCCCCAAAAAATACTTACAAATGTAGTGAAGTACTATAGTACTTCAAATACCTTACACCTCTGCAGTTCTGTAATTGAGAGAGAAAGAGAGAGAGAGAGAGAGAGAGAGAGAGAGAGAGACTCCTTGACCTTCTGATGACACAATTCTTCAGTCTCTCAGGGCACGGTTGGACACTGGCTCCTTGTACATGTACACATAACAGGGCCAAACAGATGCTATTTCAGCCCAGAGGACAATACAAACACGCTGACAACATACAAATGACCTGCAATCATCTGACTGTGGGTGTACTGTATACACTGCACTGCAAGACCTGAACATATTAAAAACATAATTTGTTAGCAACACACAAGTACAAAAAAAAAAAAAAAAAA